AAGTGCCCAAGTGCCCATCTTTGACTATATATAAAGGGCAAGGCCCAATTTATCTTGGGCTTCACTTTATTTATCTATTTGTTGATAACAAATAAACATTTATAAATTCCTTTAACTTCCCATATTTTCTTGATGTGGGACCTTAACATTTGCAAACTACTCAACAATCAATGCGACTGTGGCATCCGGACATGATATAGCAGCATGCACGCAGCGGCTACCCACCATGGCCAAAATGATTCCTAGCCCAAGAATCCATAAAAACCAAGAGCCACAACTCATCATTTTCCTCGCCATTTTTCTCCTCTCAAACTATTGCTGTATGCTAGAAATTACTACAGCAAGAGGTATAGAATTTGCTTCTGTGGAGGAATTGGGTTTGCCTTGAAACAATTTATAGAGTAATTTCCACTAAACCTAGTCAATGATTCATTAATATTTACAGCTGTAACCGTCCATTTCTGGAGATGTTCATACTTTGCGTCTGCGAAGCAATTGGGTTTGCCTTGAAAACATTTTGTACAATAATTGGTACATCCAATATTTCAACACTCGATTCAACATCCTTTAATTTAATTATTAAAATATTATTATTTTTTTATCTGAAATTAAAAATAGATAAATATAATGATACAATCATACATACAAAATATAAAAACCAACTGAATTAACTGTATTTATATTATATTTTTAATGATTAAACCAAAAAATATTAAATCAAGTGTTAAAATATTAGGTGTACCAATTATTTCCCAAACATTTTATAGGGATTTCCACTAAAGCTAGTCAATGATTCATTCATATATACAGTTGTAACCTTCCGTTTCTGGAGATGTACACACCACAATTTGACCCCTTCTTAATGACACGGTACCTTTAACTGAAAAATATAATGTGAATGCCTCCAACAAGTGGATGATACCATATTATGCGTGTCTCTTTAAATAAAAGTGTTTTTTTTTTTTTAACTTTTTGTATTAAGGGTTATTGTATTTTTTTTCATTATTGATTTATAGAAAAAATTATAAAAAAATACTGATATCATGGAAAATAATTTAATTAGACAATTAATAAAACTTAGATTATTTTTTATTTTTTAAGTAAACTAATAGTGAAAATGTATAGTAAATATAATATACCCTCAATATATGCTATAAAAACATATGTTAAAAAATTCTTTAAAAAAATAATTTATCATATAATGTCAGGTCGTATTATAGAACTTATTACATTTAAAATCATTATATGTCAATCATTTTTCTAAAATCATTGTATGTGTGGTATT